TTACATAATGAAAACTCCCGAAATATTAAAAATTATGAAAATACAAACGTTTATTTTATGCTTTTAAAATGTTAAATAGCTTATAAATATAGAAATTCTTGAAATTATATTATTAAAAATTATAAACTTAATCATTAAAGAATTGCCATTAACAAATACAAATTTTAAAAATTAATGAATCATCATTCATCATTAAAGAATATAAATTTAAGCATTTTATATCTAATTATTTTATATTCTTTGAATAAATTTTTAAATCAAAAAATATTCAAAATATTAATAAAAAATTTGAAGATTTTTGGAATTTATTAAAATTATAATTATATATTTTTACATTAACAAAAAAGTTCAATAAAGATTCTTTTTATTATGTTAATAATTAATTAATTTATTTATTTATTAGAAAATTTTCCCAATATTTCATAAGTTAAGCATTACAGATTATTTTAAATTTCAGAATCATCAATTTTTACCATTTACACATAAAAACTACAGAGAATTCAAAGAGATATTTAAGAAGGATTTTTAATTTCACGAGTAACTTAAATGAGAAAACGCATACTATTTAACAATAAATTATGAAAAATGAAAATATGCTAACTATCCAACAAATATCCTAGTCTCTGATAATAATAACAAGAGAATAATTAATTATCCCGAAAAAAAGGGAAGAGAGCAAAAATCAGAATCGCAACAAACCGAGCTAATCATGAAAAACGAGTTGTACATCTCAATTCTTTGATACAGTTACACGTGAGCATAAATTACAAAAATTGTAATGTCACATATAATTGAAACGTGACAAAGACCAAAGATAATAATAATTTCGATAATAAATAACATCTGTCTACTATCAAGATTGATTTGAAAGTCGATCGGTTTTCGTTTAAAGGTCCTCTTGTCGAGAAAATTGAAAATAACTGACTGTATCCCCCTGTGATAAATCAAATGATATTAATATTATCCGACCCAATTTCCCGCAAAGACCATAACTCACATACTCCTGTTTTTGAAAGATAAGACTGCAAACTATTCTCTCTACTACTGCATTAGCATTAGGGCACAACTCATTTTCGGTACCAACGTATAATGTGGTTGGCATGCCGATGTAGAAAAATTATTATTACATTTTATTCGCCATTTTCCCTCGAATCAAACAGCTGGATTCCATTACTTTATCTGTTTTCAGAAGAGAGGGAGTTGATAGGAAAGTTTAGTGTCTATAATTAACCCTTTTATCACCCATGATGACACATGACATCGTGAATAACTTTTCCCAGTTACGATATTAACGAAAAGAGAACAATTTAAAGTTTTGTTCAATATATCAGCATCTAATGACAGAAAAAAATAAAATAAAAAAACTCACTGACAAAACGATTCTGTTCGAGCTTTTATCATTACAATTAAAAAATTTACCATTAAATCTAATTAATTTGCAATAAAGACAATTAGCAAATTTCATTGAATTACAATAATCGATTGGAATTTTTTTTATTTAAAAAACTGCTTAAAAATAATAATAATAGGAGTAAAACAAAAAGATGCAATTGGAACAATTCACACGCTCTTTTTTTCTTCTTCATCCTCCTCTCACCCAATCCTGTTAATCCTACAGAAAAAAATCCAACAGAACAACTACTGACACACGTTACATCCGAGTAATTAACTTTTAATTAACTTTTTTCTTCTGCCTCCTGTCTTTCTCTACTACACACCCGCTAAGATAACAACTTTTAACAGCCTAATCCGACGTTCTGTAGCTGATTAAACCGATACCTTTAGGTTCTGTTATCTCCACATGTTCGTCATCTACCAAGAAACTTACTATACCAATTACATCCCTAAACTGACAGTTTAGAACTTGTCACTAGCAAGAAAGAACAATTGAGATAAAGAAGTGAAAGCTGAATGAAAGTCCAAAAGACGTGTATACGTTTAGAGTTATAATAAATGTGAAATATAGTGTTATATAATGTGTTAATAAATTCGTAAATATAGTAAAGAAGTTGGACTTTTAAAAAATATTTTCATGGACTATACTTCATCCATGCTCCAAATAATCAAGATGAATGGAGCCGTTGTTAATCTTTCTTACTATTATTAATTTTAAAATTTTAAGATTTACATGTAAAAAGTTTAAAGAGCTGAAGAATTGTAATTTTCACAACAAAGATTTACAACATTTTATAAGAATAAACTTAAAATATCTTAGAATATCTGTACGTTGTCGATAGATGTTTCAAATTCTATCTCTTCTCTTGTTATAAAGGCTACCTTTTACTTTCCAGGGTGTTATATAACAGAGGAAAAGTATGGAAACTGGCAAAAAATGACCCCCTCCCAAATATTTTCACATTTTTTCTTATTCTGGGAACCTAGAAACGTCGAGAAATTCAAAAAAGTTGGGGTCTTTTTATCCCTGTATGTATGGGTGCTAGTGAGCATATAGGAGCACGATTTTTTCATCCATTTTAAAACTTAATAACTCCTATGTCTTTTGTCGAAATTTTCTGATATTTTGCAGGGAGATTTGTGTATTAGGGAGAAATGTTACTAGAAATTTTCAAGAAAATCGGACTATTTGTTTGAGAAATATAACTCCATTCCTTAATACCTCCAGAACCAATCTGAAGACTTATAAAAGCAAATGGTAGCAATTATTAGGGATTAAAACAAATAAAGAATGTCAGAAAATTCCAGCAACAACGTTTCCAACTTTTTTTTTTAGAAGAAACAGTTATTTCTGAGTCTGGATCAAAGATTTTCAGCACAAATTTTCAATAATACACTGAATTATCTCTATGCAAACGAGTAAAAAAGTTTTAAAATATGGATAATAAATAAACAGTAAATTTCGAAAACAGCAATTCAAAGTTTTTCAAAAAAAAAGTGTATCATAAGTCGGCTGTACTAAGAGCAATTATCGTTTATTTGTGAAGATAAGCAAGAATAATTAACTAATCTAAATTTACCATTAAAAATGTCTTCGAAAGGCGACATTTGGGATTTAATGTTAATTGCAATGAAAAAGAAAGTCATTATGATATTTTACCAACAATTAGAAAAAATTTACATAATGAAAACTCCCGAAATATTAAAAATTATGAAAATACAAACGTTTATTTTATGCTTTTAAAATGTTAAATAGCTTATAAATATAGAAATTCTTGAAATTATATTATTAAAAATTATAAACTTAATCATTAAAGAATTGCCATTAACAAATACAAATTTTAAAAATTAATGAATCATCATTCATCATTAAAGAATATAAATTTAAGCATTTTATATCTAATTATTTTATATTCTTTGAATAAATTTTTAAATCAAAAAATATTCAAAATATTAATAAAAAATTTGAAGATTTTTGGAATTTATTAAAATTATAATTATATATTTTTACATTAACAAAAAAGTTCAATAAAGATTCTTTTTATTATGTTAATAATTAATTAATTTATTTATTTATTAGAAAATTTTCCCAATATTTCATAAGTTAAGCATTACAGATTATTTTAAATTTCAGAATCATCAATTTTTACCATTTACACATAAAAACTACAGAGAATTCAAAGAGATATTTAAGAAGGATTTTTAATTTCACGAGTAACTTAAATGAGAAAACGCATACTATTTAACAATAAATTATGAAAAATGAAAATATGCTAACTATCCAACAAATATCCTAGTCTCTGATAATAATAACAAGAGAATAATTAATTATCCCGAAAAAAAGGGAAGAGAGCAAAAATCAGAATCGCAACAAACCGAGCTAATCATGAAAAACGAGTTGTACATCTCAATTCTTTGATACAGTTACACGTGAGCATAAATTACAAAAATTGTAATGTCACATATAATTGAAACGTGACAAAGACCAAAGATAATAATAATTTCGATAATAAATAACATCTGTCTACTATCAAGATTGATTTGAAAGTCGATCGGTTTTCGTTTAAAGGTCCTCTTGTCGAGAAAATTGAAAATAACTGACTGTATCCCCCTGTGATAAATCAAATGATATTAATATTATCCGACCCAATTTCCCGCAAAGACCATAACTCACATACTCCTGTTTTTGAAAGATAAGACTGCAAACTATTCTCTCTACTACAGCATTAGCATTAGGGCACAACTCATTTTCGGTACCAACGTATAATGTGGTTGGCATGCCGATGTAGAAAAATTATTATTACATTTTATTCGCCATTTTCCCTCGAATCAAACAGCTGGATTCCATTACTTTATCTGTTTTCAGAAGAGAGGGAGTTGATAGGAAAGTTTAGTGTCTATAATTAACCCTTTTATCACCCATGATGACACATGACATCGTGAATAACTTTTCCCAGTTACGATATGATTACGGGGATGAAAAACGATGCCAAGAAGACATGTTGAGTGCATGATGCATCGTCTATATCATTCGTGACGTATCGAGTATCACTTTATAAATTTTTTAAGTGAATTGGTCCGTATTATGCATCAAGTGTTCGCCCGTGACGTGATAAATATTTGATACATAAATTTCCAATCGAAATTGGGACGAATTTGCGATTAATCATGCCTCATTATAAATTAGTACTTGTCTAAGATGTATTAAATTATTCATAATAATGGTTATGTCAAGCCATGTTTGTGGTTTCTAAAAATAATTTAATCGTTAAAATATTTTTTTATCCTCGTGTGTTATTAATAGATCAATGTAAATTTTTGTTTAAAAATTACATTTTTCTTTTTTTTCTTTTATAAATTTTAATTTAAAACTGTCAATTTCACTAAAATTTAGGAAAAAAATAAATTTTATCGAAATAGATTAATATGCGATTTAATTATACAAAATGTAATAGATTAAAATTGTATTTTTATAAAAACGCAGCCATCAATTACTATGAAAATGAAAGAAAATTAAACTAAAGAAAGTTTCAGCAGATTTCAAATCAAAAATTTTATTAAATAATGGATTATATTTATATAAAATATGTATAAATTATACATACCTCTTGCGGGGTATCAGTGAGAAATGAGTGACAGTATTGTAAACTGAAATGACCTTTGGGTTCTCGTGCCAAAACGGAAAACTGACAATGCTGCGGATCACACGTGGCATACGATATACGTCGGAGAGCATGAGCCATGTAGACACTCTATCAAAATGAATAACAGATAATTAATAACAATACAATACACCGCAAGAGTACATAAACAAAGACAACTAACTACAATATCCGTTAAGGTTAGATGCCAGTCCTACATCCCCATATTGACTGACTCATCAACTCGTCGGAGTTATATTTTTACTCAATGTTCCCTAAGCAGTTGCTATGGTAACCGACGTGTAAGGTGACGAGGGTAGGTGTGGCACACGGTACTGGTACCAACCCCGGATGGACAAGGGTACCCCCTATTTGAAACCCCAACCAGTTATTATTGGGGCCACTAGGAGGAAAAAAATATCCTCCCACTTTAGTAAAGATAGTATTAAAGCATAATCTTTAAATAAAAAAAATTAAATTGATAATGGTGAATCATTCTATTTTTAAGTTATAGAAAGTGTATAACTTCATGAATCTCTTCTTCGAGTGCATTAATTATCTTATCTGCTTTCGTTAAAATGCGCTGTTGTCATCACCTGAACACATGTCATTGAGTCATACACGATTACGTATCATACTCCATTGGTCACGTGATACGGGATCAACGTAGCGTGAGACACATTAAGTCACGCGTTTGTAATTTTGTTCACTAGTTCCCAATGGATGATAATATGATATTTTCGGGTCCTAAGTCTAATTGAGTCTATGGATTTACTGTAATAGAAACATTGGTTAGTCATTGTATTGAACAACGATTGATTACACTATAAATTCTACATGTGATAAGCTTAATAGAAATCTCAAACTTTGTTACGAACTTAACTTATAAAAGAAAAATGAATTTTAAGTAATTTTATTAAATTTCTTTTTAAATTTTCATCTATTTTAATTTTACATTAACATCGTAAACTTTCGTGACACTTCTTTATTTTACATTTAAAAAAATCAATACTTTTATTTAAGTTAAAACTATTTTAAACATTGATCTCTTTCCGTTTAAATAAGAAAATTTAATTAAATTTAATTTCAAATTTGCATATTTATTTACTTTTTTTTTAAATTTCAATTAGACAAAAAAATAGAATAAACATTTATACAAATACAATGGAAAATTATATTTTGATAGGAAATTTTAAACCGCAATAAAATTAGAAAATTTACATTCGAAACAATTCCCCTATTTAAAATTGGTATATTTTCCCTTTAATTGTAATTGAAAATTAACATTCGTGTAATGAAATTTAAATTGTCTGCTTTAATTGTGTTCAACGAAATTGAAATTATGTTTACTTTATTTTAATTAGATTTAGATTTGTAATAAATTTATGTCATTTTCATTTGAATAATTGAATTTTTCTTAATGGAAATTTCGTAGAAATTGACAGAAACAATCATCTACAATTGATTAAAATTAATTCTAGAAATGAAACTGATTAAAATTTAATTGTAGAAAAAATTAAAGTGGATTAAAATTTGTTTTAAAGATATTTAAAAACACAATTACATAAATTTCACTAAAATTGATTGGAAATTTTTGAAATATTAAAGAAATGAGACGTTAAAAAGAGACTTTTTCTAGAAAATACAAAAATAATAAAAAAATAAACAAAATAAAATAAATGTAATTTATGAAAATGACGAAAATGCAATTTTTCATTTTCACTGTAATTGAATTTTTTTAAAATGCAGAATTAACAAAAGTTGGCAGAAAATAATTTAGAATTGCACTCGATTAAAGTTTCTTTTAAAACATTTAAATATTTATTTATTTATTCAAATTTTAGAAGAAATTTAAATATATATACATAAATTTCATTAAAACTAATCGCAAATTTTAAAAATAAAATGTTAAACTTTATCTAGAAAATAACAAAAAAATGCAATTTATGAAAATGACAAAAGTGCAATTTCTGTCATTTCCACTGTAATTAAATTTTTTTAATGCAAAATTTAAGAGATTAACAGAACGGAAAAAATCCAAATTCGGTTTATTTAACTGAATTTACTTCGATTTAAATTATTTTTACTCCAAAATTTTTGAAGTTTAAAGTTAAATTTTACAATTCAAATAAATTAAAAGTCCAATATTAACAGTAAAAATCAGTATATTTTTATGAAGAATTCGTTAAATTTATCGTAAAACTTAACAAAAATTTGAGAAATAAAACATTAAAATTCCTTTATTTACAGCAATCCAACGCAATTTTGTATTTAAATAATATAATTATTATGAAAAATGGAATAAATTATATTTTTTTAAAAATGCAACTTTTGGTAGAAATTGATAGAAAATTGTAAATATTAATAGAATTGGAATTGATTAAATTAATTCCAGAATTGAAATAAATTAAAATTTAATTCTAGAAATGAAACCGATTAGAAATTCAACTTCAATAATTAAAAAATGCATTAAATTTTTACATTCATTTCATTCAAATTTACGGAGAAACTAAAAAATTAAAGAAATTTAATGTGAAAATTTATAAATTTACAACAAATGAATAAATTTTTAGCTTTAAAAAAATGCAATTAATTCCATCCAAAATTCGAAAATTACAATATAAACAACACTCGAAGCAACTATTAATAAATTAAATATGTAATTTCTTAAATTTTTTTATATAATTAAGAAAAAATAAATAAAAATATAAAATTTCAAAATTTAAATTGCCCGAAACTATATTCCTGTTGAATCAACACAATAGTGATTGACATATTAAGTCATTACGACTAATTACTCTCTTATCTAATTTGCCTTGTGGTAATGTCTGCGGAAATTCAGTGCTTTACATTATATATCACAACAACACATCTGCTGATCAAGAGACAAAAGCTAATACGAAATATTTAAATTAAAAAAGTTTCAAAGAAAAAAATGTAAGAAAATCCAGTAGATATGCCCCAATTTTCTGAATTTTCAAATAAAATTATATTTTAAAAAATCAGTGAATTTTCTTATAATTTTCTTCAACTAATTCACAATTCAATATGCAGGAAAAATTCTATTGATATTAAAATTCTACTGAAGAAAAATTAGAAGAAAATTTACTAACATTTACTGAGATTTTTAAATGTAATTTTCTTTAAAACGTCAGAAAATTCGCGCACATCTACTGAATTTTCGAAGAAAAATATAAGAAAATTCTGTAGATATGCACAAATTTTCCGTATTTTCCTAAGAAAATTAAATTAAAATATTAGTGAATTTTCTTATAATTTTCTTCAAGTAAATCAAAATTCAATTTATTCAATATGCACGAAAAAAAATCTATTAAAATTCCTCTGAAGAAATTTTAGTAGATACTGATATTTATTAACTTTTCTTATATATATATTTTTTTCTTTTTCAAAATTCAGTAGAAGTTTAATAGAATTTCTTCTAGCATATCTACTGAATTTTCGAAGAGAAATGTAAGAAAATTCAGTNAAAAAATGTAAGAAAATCCAGTAGATATGCCCCAATTTTCTGAATTTTCAAATAAAATTATATTTTAAAAAATCAGTGAATTTTCTTATAATTTTCTTCAACTAATTCACAATTCAATATGCAGGAAAAATTCTATTGATATTAAAATTCTACTGAAGAAAAATTAGAAGAAAATTTACTAACATTTACTGAGATTTTTAAATGTAATTTTCTTTAAAACGTCAGAAAATTCGCGCACATCTACTGAATTTTCGAAGAAAAATATAAGAAAATTCTGTAGATATGCACAAATTTTCCGTATTTTCCTAAGAAAATTAAATTAAAATATTAGTGAATTTTCTTATAATTTTCTTCAAGTAAATCAAAATTCAATTTATTCAATATGCACGAAAAAAAATCTATTAAAATTCCTCTGAAGAAATTTTAGTAGATACTGATATTTATTAAGTTTTCTTATATATATATTTTTTTCTTTTTCAAAATTCAGTAGAAGTTTAATAGAATTTCTTCTAGCATATCTACTGAATTTTCGAAGAGAAATGTAAGAAAATTCAGTAGATATATGCACTTTTTTTGTTAAATTGTGAAAGAAGTTAGTAGAGGATTAATTTTATTTTATTCGTTTTTTTATCAATGCCAAACACGTTTGGTTTTTATCCGCTTTAGGATGACATAAATTGCGTTTCTACTTCAGATATAGATTGAAGAGAATTCGGTTTATCATCAAAGATATTTGTTCCATTTTTACTGATAAGATTTCTGGTTTTGTTCTGCGTCAGATTTACTTTATAAATCCTAATAAAATGCTTCGTTTTTTCGTATTTTAATTAATAATTACGTATTGATTTTAACGTTAATGGCTGCGAAACATTTAGAACTCGAAGCGAAATGTATGCTGCAACAATTATTTTAATGTGAAAACTTTATTTTTTCATACATTAACGACCTTTCTGGCTTAAAATTTGTTTATTAAATAACAGTTTTCTAATGTAAATTGGGTTATTATCCGGTCGTAACCCTCCAAATAATGTATTGGCAATTGTATTGACAAAACGCTACGACAGTATTGACAAAATATCTTAAGGATTCTACGGAACAATCCTTAATTACAAAAGATTTATTGGAGTTTAGTTAGAAAAATTTAAAAATTGAATAACTGAAGAAAGATATGCTCCATCGATAAAATTTTACAAGATAAGAAGCTTAGAAAATTTAAAATCAATAGATTACGTATATAAAATTAAAAGAAGGCACACTATTAATTAAATAATTAATAACTTTATAAAGAATTGCATTGGTGTAAATATTTATTTTGACATTATGACATTTTCCAATAAGAAAAACAAACAAAAAGATTAGATAACCGAAGAAAAAAGAGTGTGTGAATGAAAGACTTCTTACATGAGATCGTTAGACCAACAGCCGTCAGTGTGAGAAATGAAACAACAGCAGAGAACAAATGAACCATCTGTCACTTGCCAAAAACTTCTTCAATACTCGACCCCCTTGGTGAAGTACAGAATAGCCTTTACTGTGAATCAAGGCAGTCGTGCAGTGAAGCTTACCCTCCCATTCGCGATTCTAGTCAGCAGACTCGAAAATCGAACCCACTTTTACACTTAACAACCGAACATGCACTCTTAATAATCCAAAAAAATAATAACTTTAACATGTTAAAATACTAAAATAACAAGAATAATTCGCTTTTTTTTTCCATAGAAACATATTAATTTTTAAAGTCAAAAATACAATTTCTTCTTTCCCCTTCTTTACTTCGATATTTCTTTGGTTAAAGTTTAAAAAATGACATTAAAAAAGTCATAAATAAATTTATATACGTATATAATAAATGCAGTTCGATAATTCTGACGGCCAATTTGTTTATTTAAAATATATGGATGGCATTTCTTCTACCAATGCCAAAGATGTAATAAAATTAAAGGAAATAAAATTGTAAAATTTATGTACAGTAGCCAACATATTTTTGCGTTAAGAAAATGTAATTTATTTCATTTTCTATTATAATTAAACTTTTTTAAAATGCAAATTTAATAGAAATTGACAGAAAACTATAAACTACTACAACTGAAATTGATTAATTTAATTCCAGAACAGAAATTGATTAAATTAATTCCAGAATTGAAATAAATTAAAATTTAATTCTAGAAATGAAACCGATTAGAAATTCAACTTCAATAATTAAAAAATGCATTAAATTTTTACATTCATTTCATTCAAATTTACGGAGAAACTAAAAAATTAAAGAAATTTAATGTGAAAATTTATAAATTTACAACAAATGAATAAATTTTTAGCTTTAAAAAAATGCAATTAATTCCATCCAAAATTCGAAAATTACAATATAAACAACACTCGAAGCAACTATTAATAAATTAAATATGTAATTTCTTAAATTTTTTTATATAATTAAGAAAAAATAAATAAAAATATAAAATTTCAAAATTTAAATTGCCCGAAACTATATTCCTGTTGAATCAACACAATAGTGATTGACATATTAAGTCATTACGACTAATTACTCTCTTATCTAATTTGCCTTGTGGTAATGTCTGCGGAAATTCAGTGCTTTACATTATATATCACAACAACACATCTGCTGATCAAGAGACAAAAGCTAATACGAAATATTTAAATTAAAAAAGTTTCAAAGAAAAAAATGTNATAAAATATAAAATTAAATTTTTATAATATTAATTTCGTTTTATAAAATTTACTTATTACCTAGAACAAAAAGTAAATTTGAAAATTTACATAAGAAGTTGAAAGTCTACTTTATTTTTAACAATAAATTCGAGATAAAGAAAAAAATGAATAAAAATATAGAAAATTTATTAAATTTATAACCTAAATAAGCTCTGTTTATTATTATTATGAACGATAATTGATTTATTTAAAGTTTATAAGCGATTTAAAGATAATTAATGTTTATTGTATTGTCATAGATGATGCTTAATCGAAGTTACTTATCTCACTTAGATTATTTTATGACAGATGTTTAAGCAAATTTAAAGCCACATAAATGCAGATAATGTCATATCAAAGCATTTCATTTCCGATAAGTACATCCTTGTTTTGTAAATCTCGTCCTTTTCCCAAAGAGTTAATTAATTGGACGGATGCAAATTGAGATTTACATCGTTCTGTCATTAAAATGGAATAAAATTTACTTACCATTCCATCCGGGCTGCATGTTTTAATTCCACAAAAAAAGAAATGACTAACAGAACAGGTTTCTTACGCTTCGTACCCTGTAAAAATATCCCATTATAAACTTACTATACCAATTACATCCCTAAACTGACAGTTTAGAACTTGTCACTAGCAAGAAAGAACAATTGAGAAAATTTTTGGAAAAAGTTTACTTCAAAATTCAGCCGCTAGAAAGAAATTTGGCGTCACTGTCTCAATATGTACGTTTTCGTACGAATGTAGAGAGTTAAGCAAAGTTATTATACGCATCATAGCTGTTCACCTTTCGAAATAATGTGAGAAACCTTTTGTGACTCCGTTTATACTTGAAAAACCTACATAATATGCACATTAATGGGTTGCAGCGCCAAATTTCGCCCTAGCGGCTAAATTTTGAAGTAAAAAATTTCCTCCCGGAAATCGAAACTGCATACTCAAGGAAATATGTACACCACATTTGCTAGATATTGCCCCAATAGTTCTTTCTACAGAGAGCTCTGAACACATACTTTTTAATTACCATCACCCTACAGTTTGAAAGTGTAATACAGAATAAAATTCCAATCTACTATAGTTAAAACTGAAAATTTTTCTGTATAACAAAGCTAAATCTTACATAATTAACAGGACAAAATTTCTGAAGAAATTGTAAATAAACAAAATCAATGCACGTCTAATAAGAAAAAGTATTTAAAAATGATAATAAGAACAAAAATATATACAGTAAAACCTGTCCAAAACATAACCTAAATAAAGCGGAAACCTGCCCAAACTGAAAAAAAATTATTCGAAACGGAAGGACTTTCTACATTAAAAAAAACCTGTTCAAAACGGAACGGAAACTGCTAAACCAGAAAAAACACAGTAAAATCTGTCCAAAACGGAACCTGGATAAAACAAGAAAAAAATTCATCGGAATGGAGCGACTTTCTACATTAAAAAGAAACCTGCTCAAAACGGAAAAAAATATTCGGTACAGCACGAGTCCGCTTTACACAGGTTTCACTGTAATTACTCTTCAATGTCAATTCCTGAAAGAAGGAAATTCTTATAATCAATCTCTGTGGACAATTTCATATTTGTTACTGATAAATTTCATCTATATCATAATTTCTGACTTATCATTATTATTTTTTTTAATGTATTCTCTCCATTGATCGATCTCATCTGAAATTGAAATCTGAGAAATAACTTCTGTATTTAGTTTTTTTTTTTCGTTCTTCGTTCATCCTCTTATCTTTTTGATTGATTCTGAAATATCAAATAGATTTTATCGGTTAGTTAGATCACTCAAGGGATCCTCTATTGAAAATTTTATATATATATAAAGGAAAAATTGTCATTCACTTCGGTAATAGTCTATCAAACTGTTTAATGCATGAATGAACGTGAGATGTACCCAAAAATATTTTATTAATTCTAAAAAAAGGCTGGCTTTTTTGTCATTTAAATCAAATTTTTTTCTAAATAAAAGGATTAAAAAAATAATAATAATATATTCTCCCTCTCCCCCTCTCTCTTTTCAAAAATAAAAAATTGTTTTGAAAAATATTCTAATTTTTACATGAAGGAATTGTGTAAAAGTTTTCTAATTTTAAAAATTAAAATTGTAAAATTTTTCTGAAGTTTAAACACTTTTGGGTTGGAAAAATTGTATTAAAATATGTGAAACGTACTCTATAAAGCATCAGTTCTCAACTGGTGGTACGCGAGTCTATACACAGGATATTCAGGTGGTAGGCAAGTCTAATCATAGAAGGGTCAGGTGGTAGGTGAGTCTATACATAGAAGGCTCAGGAGTACGCGAATCTATACATAGAAGGTTGGGATGGTAGGCGAGACTATACAAAGAAGAGTAAGGTGGTTGGCCAGTCTATTACACAGAAGGCTCGAGTGATAGGCGACTGGAAAAAAAATTGAGAACCGCAGCTGTGAAAAATATTTAACACAAGAAACCTTAATACTACGCTCTCTACAAAAGGTAATTACAGAATGAAAGATACAGTACTTTGATAGGTTCTTTATAAAAGAGGCTTTCGTGAAAGATACTTCAATATAAGATAATTAACAAAAAGAAAGGAACAAAAAACAGGTACTTAACAGGTATTATTGAAAGATTCTTTAGTAAAGTATTCAATAAAAGATGCATAATAGGTTCTTTATAAAAAGGGGCTTTAATGAAAGGCATTTAATAACTACCTATTATTAAAGTACTGCTTATTAATAAAACGTACTTTAACGATAGATACTTAATGCTACATAAGGTACTTCAATACTAGATAATTAACAGAAGATACTTTAATGAAAGGTACTTAACGGGTACACTAATCAAAGATTCTTTGATAAAAGATACTTAATAGAAAGGTATTTTGAATAGGTTCTGTATAAAAAGTACATAAGAAAGCATACTTTAATATAAAATAAAATAAAAGTTTTTAGATAATTTAATAAATCAGTTAGGAATTTAAAATTGACTAAAAATTGAGAAAGTTCTTCTAAAAGGTTGCAAAACATTACTTTTATTTAAAATTTCAAAATTTTGTAAATTATGTAAGGGATGTTTTTATATAANAATACATGACAAGAAAAATAAAAGAGGAATATTTTAAAGGAGGTTTATATATAAACATGAGTAAAACAAAATATTTATGCATAGGAGGAGCTAAAACAGACATGGAACTGGAAGAAGGAGAAGAGATTGAGGGATATGAACATTACAATTGTCTTGGAATACAAATTCATCAAGATGGAAGAGATACATTAGAAATTAATACAAGATTAGCACAAGGTAAGAGAGCAGTTAAAAGATTAAATGGAATATGGTGAAATGAAGAAATAACTAGATGAAGAAAAAAAGAATATGTAATGCTATTGTTAAAAGCATTCTGTTATACGGGGTGGAGGCATGGAGAATGACTGGGGAAGAGAAGAGAAAAGTAACAATGGCTGAAATGGATGCATTGAGAAGATTGTGCAGAATCTCAAAAAGAGAAAGAATAACTAATGAGAGAATCAAAGATCTAATGGGATTTTTGGAGACAGATTGAAGGAGACGGTTTTGGAAGAAATAAAGAGGAAACAACTTATTTGGTTTGGACATGTGAAAAGAATGAGTGACGAGAGACTGCCGAAAATGTCAATGGAATACAATCCACAAAAAAAGGAAAAAGAGGAAGACCTAGACAAACTTGGTACAACAGAGTAAAGTTAGCATGTAGTGAAAAAGGGATTAAAGAGGAATGGTGATGGATAGAGAGAGATTGGAAGGCAACATCAGATGCCATAAACTGAAATATAGATAGAAATACTAATAAATACAATACTTAATCATAAATCTATTATAAATTAATAAAATATAGTAAAATCTAACCATTTCTTATCAGTAAATTTATAATTAGAATTTTATTTTAAAATGTTAAAAATTAAGAAGAATAAATAAAAATAAAATGTTTCTTTTCCTTAGTTTATTTTTAAAATTACAAAAGAACAAAAATTACTTAATTAAAAAATTTTTTGTGTATTCAATACAAATTTATACATATTTTAAAATTATAAATAGTGTTATATAATTGTATTTTTAAAATGAGTACTGTTAAAGTTTGAAAGCTATTTCAATAAAATGATATACAAGTTTATTTCTGAACTCTTGTCACTTTATGTGAAAAATTATATCAGATTATTCTTTATGCAAATACAAAAAACTGCAAGAACCTTTATCAGAACATTGACATTGTTTTCTAAATTTCACTATGAATAGTTAGCATATATGCTATACATATATGACTTATAACAGATGATGGTAATGTTATAACCTCTAAACAGTAAAGTTTAATTAATATTATTATTATAAAAATTAAATTATCCAGAATTTTCATTTAGATGTAGATATGACAAGTGTTTATTAAAATTACATACATATAAATGAAATAAACTATTTAAAAGATTTAGAAATATTAGGAAAACATATTCAAACTCTAAAAATGTTAATAAAGAATTTGTGCTTTTTTTTATAATAATCAAATGATTGTTACATGAATTAATATAACAACATAAACAAATTATATTTCTGAATAGAATAAAATGTCAGCATAATGGGTTTTTACAAATCATAAATGATATTTTGTGTAATAAGACTTTAATGTATTGAAAAACAGTAAAATAATATAGTGCAACTTATATTGTTATTTTGCCTTTAATTTTTTTTGTATTGTATTTTTTTTATCCTAATTAGCAAGCAAAAACTCTTAAGATTCTTATCTGCTGTTTTCTTCACTCATGCTTCAATTAAAATTATTTGATGTAACTTTCTTTGCCTTTTTATAGATTGTTCATTCTCCTTTGTTTCTTTTATACTTTTGATGGCATCAAAATAATTTTTTAAATTTTCCTTATTCTAAATAAATATTGACAAAATTGATAAGCTATTATATTCTTTTGATAATTTGCCTCTAATGTAACAGTTACCATATTATAAAAAAATTCTCAACTTTTTCTTTAAGGAAACATTGTTTGTTCTTTTAGTTTTTACAATTATTAATCTAAAGAAACTGTAGAGTTTGCAGTTTTATATCATAAGATATTTTATAATTTGTATAAATTAAATTTTTTCTATTTATTTTCTGAAATTTTTTCATTTGTTTAATCCAAATCAGTACAGGTATAATAAAAACAATATACAGTATATATAAGTGTAGCAGTCAAGGTATGTTATGTTAAGCCCATCCCTCACTACTTGGCTGAACCCATAATGGGTATGATCAAAAGGCTAAATATGAAATATTATTTTTTATGTATTTATCCACATTGTTAGTGGATAAATACAGAAAAAGATATAATAATTCATATGTAGCTTTTTAATAATTATTAATTACAAATAAAAGATTAATTTAAAAAAATTTTTAAAGTAATATTATTTTGTAAAGGTTTATTTATAATTATTTTATAAAATAATATTTTAATAATATCAAAATATATTATACCGAACAATTTCCTTAATGTTATATTTTCAAGTTATTAGAAATAAACAATTT